ATTAATCGATTACGATTTTTGCTGCGGTTTGTCTTCTGTATGCTATACGAAGTATTACGCCCCTTTTTTCCCCTTTTTTCCCCCCTTTTTTTCCCCCCTACCCTCTCCCCCTTTTTCCTTCCGTCCCCGTCCCCCTTCTCACCCTGTTTGGAACCTGTCTCTTTTACACATCTAGATGTGTATAAGAGACAGCGCTATAGCCCAGTCCCTGTTTTCTACTCCCCCTTCCGCCCCTCCTTCCCCCCTCCTTCCCCGTCCTGTTTCCCGCCTGCGGTCCCCTTTCTGGCTCATCAGCCCTCTCCCCCCCTTTTTTTCCCCCCTTCTTTTCTCTTTTCTTTTCTTTTGCAGGCCTGCGGGTGAAGTGGCTATATCAGGCTTAGGATGGTTCTCGATCTGTCTCTTATACACATCTAGATGTGTATAAGAGACAGCTTATATGACTGTTCTCCCAACAGTAAGGCACGAATACCTCGTTCTTCTTTTCCCCCCTTTTTTTCCCTGGGCGATGAGTAGTCCATATCAACTCTCAAGAAGTGCGAGAGGGTAAGAGTGCTTCGCTTTGAATGGCCTCAGCAAGCGGGAGGCATGACGAACCTTCACGGGGACAGAAGATATGGATGCTGACGTGTACAAGATGAACAGAAACTAAAGGAACCTTGTCTTGCGCAACAAGGTCATAAAGCACAATGAGAAGAAACACGAGAAGAGATGCTGAGAAGAAAGAGGAGAAGAAGAGATGGTGAGAAGAAAGAGGAGAAGAAGAGATGGTGAGAAGAAAGAGGAGAAGAAGAGATGGTGATGGAGCCTTCTATCTCGCCTGATAAAAGGTCTTCCAGTTTCGACCGAATATGAAAGATGGCAATGTCGGCAGGTAGGTATGTGTGGTAAAGAACGTAGAGCGTGTGTGAGGGAGGGAGGGAGGGAGGGCAGGACGAGGGCGGGTTCACATCTTCAAAGTCGTGCGTGACTTGCGACGTGGCGACTCTCTCTGTTTCTCTCTCTTGCGCTGTGGTCTGCGATCAAGACGAGTAGGAAAGAGGTCGTCATCATCATCGTCGGCGATCAGAGATCGAGCGCAAATCTCAAATCTGCGCTTTGGACGTGTGATAGGTAAGAACGAAGGGCACAAATTGTAAGGAAGAAAGCCATTTCAGTGTCAGAGAAAGAAATCTTAGGTTGTGTACGTCTCGCGGGGCCGGGCGTTAAACAATTAGTGAGCGAGCGAGTGCGCTTCTGCGTCTGCTCTGGCGGTTTTCTGCATTAGTGCGCATCTTCCTAGGTGACACACATATATATATATATAT